TAATAATATTAAAAATCATATAATTTATATAAATATTAATCCTGAAGCCCCTTAGTGAATCGTTCCTGCCTCTGATTGGCTGTTTTATTGTTTTGTTTTTTTCTTTTCTGCTTTTTTTTGTTATCTATTTTTATATTCTATAGTGGATTACAAGTGTCATGAATTGTGCATCTGCCATCTACGTGTTCGTTTTCTGCTGCTGTTCTATTGTCATCTCACCGTTTTCCACCGACGATAGTTTACCACTGCCGGTTGATGCACTGTTACCCTCCATCGTCATCGTCTCTTTACAAGTAACTGTTAATCGATCTCTTGGTTTTTCCTTTTTGTTTTTGTCCTCTGTTTGATTGTTGGTCACTTTCATCTTTTTTCCCTCATGCCTAAATTACCTAAACGTAAGCTACCTTCGACTGCGTCCTCTTCGTCTTCTTCTGCGGTTGGCTTTGTTCGCAACTCGCCTAGGATAGAGGGATTAGATGTTCTTCCTCTCCCTCTTATGTACGATTGTGGGGATTGTGTGCATGTCTTTCAATTTTGTGGTGCATTTTTTTGGTTTGTTGAAAGAAATACGTCACAATCTACTGCTAATCGGCCAGCATATACCCAATGTTGTAAGTCCGGCTCTGTTATCCTACCTTATCCTCCCCCCTCTTGAAATTCACCATTTGTACATGAATGGTCATTTTATGGATGACATTAGTGCATACAACAACATGTTTTATATGACTTCTTTTGGGGCTGATGTTGATGAGGCAGTTAATAACAGTCATGGCCCATACGTGTGTTAAGGTTTCCGGTCAGATTTTCCACTGCATAGGCTCTCTTTGCCCTGGATATAACAATGGCCCTAGATTTTTGCAGTTATATACTTACGACACTGACAATGAACTTTCCATTAGGCTTAATGCATTTGATTCCCCTAAAAAGAAAGAGTTAGATGTTGTAATAGTTCAACTTCTTATACAATGTTTGACAGCTCACAATGAATATGTACGTACCTTCAAGACATCCAAAGAAATTGTTGATGAAATTGGGTTAGAATCGTACTCAGTTTGTTTGTATAGTGATGTTCCTGACCGTAGATATGGTGTTCCAGCTGGTGATGAGGCAAACTGTGGAAAGTGGTCAGAGATTGAGCGTTTCATGAACTTTCACGAACAACGTGATGTTCACAGCAGGGCTGATATAATTTCACGGGTCTTTCAAATTAAAGTTGATGCCTTTATCAAATTCGTTAAAGAAGATAAGACCTTTGGTGATGTAGTTGCACGTAAGTACATTTTCTGTGGCTTATGGTTTTCTATATACTATGGCTTATGGTTATTTTTTTCTCTTATAGTTGTTTATATGGTATGATGCATACTCTTTACGTGTTCTCCAGATTTATATACAATCGAGTTCCAAAAAAGAGGCTTTCCACACTGTCATACGTTGTTATGGACATCATTTGTAGACAGAATAAAAGAAACACCTGACATTGATAAATATATAAGGGTAGAATTTCCTGATCCCGTTTTGAAAGGCCACTCTATGATACAATCACCAACTATATGCTTCATGGTCCTTGTGGTTTGTTAAATAAGTCTGTCCCATGTATGAAGAATATAAATGCAACAAGAACTTTCCAAATCCATTTCAGACAACCACTTATTTTGATAAAAATGGGTACGCCTGTTACAAAAGAAACAATATTGCATGTCATAGGATACCAAACGGGATTGTGATTAATAATGGTTATGTTGTACCTTACAATAAGAGGTTATGTTCCCGTTTTAGAGCGTATATAAATGTTGAATATTGTGGTTGGAACATGATGGTGAAGTATCTATTCAAATACATATTAAAAGGTGTTGAACGCGTTAGATTCACAGTTCAAAGAAAGGAGGCAGCTGTTGAGAGAAGTTCAATTCATAATGTTCAACCTGTTAATGAGATTAACACTTTCCTTCATGGTCGGTATGTTTGTCCTCATTAAGCTGCATGGAGGATTCTGAATTTTGATATTCATATCCGACGTCCACCTGTTATGAGCCTGCATGTACACTTACCACATATACAGAATGTTATCTTTAAAGTTGACATGCCTTTACATCGTGTGCTTAGCAATCCATCCCTTGGAAGGACACCACTTATTGGGTGGTTCGATAGCAATGCACGTGACCACACAGGGCATGATATAACTTACATGGACTATCCAAAAGATTATAAATGGGATTCTGACTCTAAAGAATGGTCACGAAGGCTTCGTGAATCCTCAAAGGCAATTGGCAGGTTGTTTTTTGTGCATCCGTCTTCTGGCGAGCTCTTCTACCTACGGATGTTGCTATGCCACCAAAAAGAATGTACATCATATGAAGATGTTCGGACTGTATCAGGCCGTTTATATGGGGCTTTTCGTAATGCATGTAACTCTCTTGGTTTAATAGGGGATGGCATTGAATGGATGGCTGCCTTTAACGAAGCATCAGTTTGGGCGACTTCTCCTCAGCTATGCTCCCTTTTCTGTCATCTTCTGCTTTTTTGTGAGGTCAGCAGTCCGTCTTCATTGCGGGAGTCTGCATACCCAAAAATGGTGGATGATTACGTACATAAACTTCATCTTGAATTTCCAGACAAATGTTTTGATGTACGTTTTGATATAATTCAGCAACAACTGTTGCAGGATTTAGAGAACATGCTCCGTTCACGTACTCCAAGTAGATCATTGGCTGATTTCAACTTATCTACTCCGTCTGATTCTTCCGTAAATGTGCTAACTAACCGTCTCCTATTAGAATAAAGCATGTATGACAAAGAGGATTTGCGTAGACAACATCTCCAGATGCTCTCCCATTTAAACAGGAAGCAGATGGTTGTCTACAAAGCAGTTGTTACATCAAATGAAATGAAGAAACAATCTCTCTTTTTTGTTTATGGCCCGGAGGTACCGGGAAAACCTTCTTATGGACTGTTATAATCTCATATTTCAGATCAGTTGGGAAAGTGGTTCTTGCTGTTTCTGCTTCTGGAATAGCTTCGCTTCTCCTTCCATGTGGCCGAACAGCGCATTCAAGGTTCAAGATACACATAGATTTATCCGATAAAAGATCATGTGACATAAAAAAGAAGACATCACTTGCAGAGTTGTTACAACATACCTCGCTTATTATTTGGTACGAAGCACCTATGAGTGATCGTTGTTGTTTTGAATGTGTTGACCGTTCCCTCCGTGACATTCTTGACTGCGATCAGCAACCATTTGGTGGCATTTCCGTTCTTCTTGGAGGAGACTTTAGACAAACTTTACCCATGAAGTCAAAAGTACTCGGGAAGCTATCATATCTTCGACTCTACCTCATTATTATCTCTGGAAGTCCTTTCAAGTTTATAAGTTAACTGAGAACATGAGATTGATGAATGCACCTTCTAATCCTCTTACTCAATTCTCGACAACTGACTTTGCAGAATGGATACTTAAATTCGGTGATGGAAGTATAGGTGAAGCTGACAACCAAGACCCAATGAATATGTTTTGGGTAAAGATACCAGATGACCTGTTAATTACTCCTTCAAAGAACTCACTGCAGGTTTAGATACACTTTGTATATGGAGATGGCATTTTGATAATGCATCTGCTACTGACCTTTTAGAAAAAGCAATTGTGTGTCCCACAAACGAGGTTGAAGACAAAATTAATGAACACATTATCCGAATGACATGTAATCATCAAAAAATTTACGGGAGCACGTATACAATGCAGCCTAATGGTAAATACATGTCAGAGTTAGAAGGTTTATATCCAACAGAGTTTTTGAATCAGTTGCAGTTTCCAAGCATCCCTCCACATTTGCTTACCTTAAAACCTAATATCCCTATTATTCTAATCAGAAACATTAGTCAGAAGGACGGTTTGTGTAATGGTACACGACTTATTGTATCCCAGTTGCTCCCATCAGTCATAGAGGCAACAATCATAACAGGCGCATGTATTGGGAAACGAGTTTACATTCCCCGTATTATGTTCATTCACAATCCACCAGACCTACCTTTTTCATTCGCAAGAAAACAACTTCCAATAAAAGTATGTTATGCCTTGACAATAAACAAAATCCAAGGACAATCACTTAAGAAAATAGGAGTCTACCTACCATAACATGTGTTCACACATGGTCAGCTTTATGTTGCGATGTCTAGGGCAACATTTCCCAACTCCATTAAAGTCTTGATAAGCAAAGATGATAACAACGTGCATAATGTCACAAAAAATGTTGTCTTTAAAGATTTGTTGTCTAAAATTGAAAATTATGATGATAACATAATGGAAAACTAACAAATGTTGTTTTTGCCCTTGCTTCACTTCTTTCAATGTTATAATTTTTTTTAATCTTTCTGCCATATATAACACATGTTATCCTTATTAACAGGTACTATTTTTTTTCATTGGCAAAGACTCGCACACACATTGGCAGAAAGATTGTTGCCAAAAAACACAATTTTTCACAAATTCTATTATATTTATGCTAACATAATCTTCATATAACACATGTCCTCAACTTATCTTCTCTTCTCTTCCACTAATATGATACTTTCAAATGTTTTTTTTCTTTCCAACTATAAGATATATTATTCTTCCTAATAACTACTGTCAATTGCATATTAGAAGAACTGTCGGATAGAAGATGACAACCATTTCAAAACTCAAACATGGATGTGTCGGAGGAGCTTTACAGGTATGGATACTGCGGAAATGGAAGCCAGATTACCGCCGCCATGAAACATGGTATCTTGCAGTGGACAAATATGTAAGTCGCCAACAATTCAATTTGTATTCTTTCTTTGTTTTTCTAAAGAATTTATTAGCAAAATAACTAACTTCACGCTCTATTAATGATATCAGGGAGTTGTCGTTCAGATTTTAGGCCAAAGAACCAACTAAGATTATATAGAGTCTATACTTACTATCTCTTAACTGTTTTACCATTTATCAGTACACATGTCCTCTATTAGATGAATATCAAAAAATGCTTGAACAAGATTTCTACATAGATGTTGGCATTGCATCCATAATCCAGCCAATACCTGACACATCTATTCTCCCAACAAGCTGGTTCCGTTTCCTACCGAAAACACAAATTTTAGAGTTAGGAGAAACCCCACCATACTGTCCAGGTATCTAAGGACATCTACAATCATGTTAAATTCATATTTCCATTCTTCTTATTTGTGAAACTTCGTCCTCTCTTCTTTACAGTTATGATTTCAAAATCATTTCCATTTCACAGTATAGAATATATGATATTCCTTTCGTACTATTATTAGCAATACATATAGCTTCAAACAAATATATAATTGTGACACCTACAGATTTCATTGGGGTCATCACCAAAATCAAAGACTGTATAAAAAAGGACGGAGAACCTTTTGTGTTGCTGGTCCTTGCTGATCGAAAGTAAGAACACTCTGCAAATATACCATACATGTACATGTTTTTAGATCCTTTCATTAACCCTCATCTTCTGTGTCAACTTCGGTGGCGACGAACTTGCAATTAACCTTTGGAAAGAATGTACCAGATGCCCTAAGAAGTTCGATCGAGAAAAAATGTTGCCCCTCCCTGTAACAGCGGTTGTTGCAATCACCAACCTAAAGGCTTCCAAAATAGACGGTATTATTTGTTCAACTAGAATATATCGACTTTGTTTTAAATTGGATGTATTTTATTTTCAAAGAAACTAAAAACTTATTCTCAATAAGTACTTAGGCATGGATCTTCAAGTGCAACACACCTCTATGTCAACCCCCAAATCCCATATACAACCCTATTGATGCACCGGTAACCAACCATTCACGCAATCAATGATGTCAACATCATCATAGATTAATGTATTACTTAATACAGGTTTCATACTTTCTGTAGATACACTGGTTCAATAAGACCTATAAGTCGACATGCAGGAATAGAGACAGCAATAGATAAAATCACAAGCAACATTATGAACTGAACTGCTCTCAGCAGCTGCCTCATTTCTTTGAACTATGAATCTAACGCGTTCAACACCTTTTGATATGTATTTAAATAGATACTTCACCATCATGTTCCAACCACAATATTCAACATTTATATGCACTCTAAAACGGGAACATAACCTCTTATTGTAAGGTACAACATAACCATTATCAATAACAATCCCATTTGGCATCCTATGACGTGTAGTATTGTTTCTTTTGCAACAGGTGTACCCGTTTTTATCAAAAGAAGTGGTTGTCTGAAATGGATTTGGAAAGTTCTTACTGCATTTATCGCTCTTCATACATGGGACAGCCTTATTTAACAAACCACAAGGACCATGAAGCATATAGTTGGTGATTGTATCATAGAGTGGCCTTCAAAAACGGGATCAGGCAATTCTGCCCTTATATATTTATCAATGTCAACTGGTTCTTTTATTCTGTCTACAGATGATGTCCATAACAACGTATGACAGTGTGGAAGGCCTCTTTTCTAGAACTCGATTGTATATAAATTTGGAGAACATGTAAAGAGTGTGCATCAGACCATATAAACAACTATGGTCTCAAAGGGACCAAAAGTGCATCTTTCTCAACTTAATCCATTAATTCCAAGTCCACAACCTTCAGATCTGAATCAATATGATGATTAGATGGATAAAGTTTCCAACTTTATCCATAACAAGGTCACAAACTTTCAAGATCTAAACTTTATGCACTAAAGTAACCAAAATATCATAACAATCAAAACTAGCTAGATCTAACAAATGCATCATCAAGATTCAAACTTTATACCTCCAGAAGAAAGATCAAGGTGAACAATGTTTGGATCTACAAGATCCAATGCAACCAACACTTCTCTAATGAGCTCATTCTTCTCCAAGATACACCAAGAACACTCCAAGTCACTTAAAAAATCAAGGATCTCACAAATGGGGCTAGGGTTTTGAAATTAGGTTTAGAGAGGATGGAGGCTGAAGGTAATAAGGGTTTGAAATGAGTTAAGGTCTTTAAATAGGGTCCAAGACCCAAATATTAGGGTTTTCATAAGGCTTGTGTACGCCCAACGTACTCTTGGTATGCCCAATGTACCAGATTGAACCTCCGTGACCAACTATGCCTAGTACGCCCAACGTACACCCTATATGCCCAGTACTCGCCTTAATCCAAAATCTTCATAACTTCTAACGATCATAACTTCTTCGTTCCAACTCTGTTTTCGAAGATCTTTATATCCACGGAAAGGTATTGAAGAGACCTACAATATTATCTAGATATCTTGGAATAAAATTTTCTCGAACAAAAATCCATAGTTCATGCAAGAACCTGACCTATGACTTTCCCATTTCTACCTTTCGGCCCAATACACAGTTCAAGGGTTAAATCTATTAACCATAATTACCTCCTTCCACAAGGACTAAACTTTACCTCCTTAAGTCCCAAATCCTTTACACAATCAACTTCCGGACCACAGCCTAAAAATGGCAGGAAACATGATGTTACAATTGTGGCCCATTTAAATTAGATTTCGTCATCTAAATCAGTCCCCACTTCCACTTCATGATATATCCCCATGAGGGTCCTTCAAACCTGACCCCCTTCAATGCGGATGAGGTCACTGAAATGCCAACATTTGAAACCATCATCAATAATGGTTCCACCCTAGGTTTAAGACAATCAACTGAGACTCCAAAATTAAATGCAGCCTTCGTCTCAACTAAACCGACCGAAAATCAACAGATTTTATCGGCCCAAAACCTTCTCTGCCAAACGTCGTCATGCTAATTACGCACATAAGTGCACCAACGCTAAGAAACCCATTGGTCACATAATATTCTAAGCCATACTCCTACTCGTTCTGACATCTCTTGAAACGTCCCATAATAAGGCCCAAAATTTTCATTTTTAATTTAGTAAAATCAGTATTCCAAAAACATAATCAATACAATCCAAATAAAATAAGTGTATCAGTTATCATATCACATCAGAGTAAATCACAAAACGCGGAACGAGGTATTGTGTGCTCTGCAATCAACTCGATCCCTGAAACATAAACTGAAAACCTAAGCACAAAGTTTAGTGAGTTCCTCAAGATACCACATACCATACATACATAACACATAACGGGCCCCGCCTAAAGAGTATAACAGGCCCCGCCTAACTCGCATAATGGGCCTCGCCGAAACTCGCATAACAGGCCCTGCCCGATGAGTATAACGGTCCCTGCCCTAACTCGCATGATGGGCCCCACCCACATACAATTTATATAAGCATAACAGGTAATAACATACAGAATAATCATCGGTCCCCACCCAGTAAGCATACAAGCACATACACATACCAGTGTGTAACACTAGTCAAAATAGGTCAATAGACAATCACATGTGATTATGCCAATCATGTAATGTGATTTTGTTAAACTAGTAATGTGATAAGAGTGCTATGTAGTTCATGATAAATTCTAATACAAATATGAACTTTCTTTATGATACAACTCAAAGTATACGTCCATATGATTCCAAAAATATAGAGAATGTCTGAATCTGACTTCGCATGAAGAAGTTATGATAAACCGAACACTATAAATCTCTATAATAAGAGGATTTTAAAATAGACTTAGAATTAGCTATTGGAGTCTAAAAGAGAGTTTTAGTACTTGTAAATACCTACGCGTGTATATAAATAACGTCAAAAACGGAGTTCGTATGTGAAAGTTACGACCTTCCGAAGATTCAGCTGTCAGAAACCCTAATCTGACTGAGCACACGACGTGAGCACAGAACTCACGACGGGAGGAGTCATTTATCCACATCTCGGAATCTAGAAGGTGTGTTACGAGGCTACGAGGGGATAAGACCCAAACTCACGACGTGAACAAGGATATCTCACGACGTGATGAGTCACATGGCCACCTTCCGAAGCTAGGGACGCAAATGGCAAGTCTACGGGGATAAGATCCAAACTCACGACGTGAGCCTTATAAAATTCACGACGTGAGGGTCAAAAATCCATACTATATATAGCAGGTCCGACTTCATCCATTCTTACACCTAAACTTCCTTATCCTCTCTCCTTTGCTGAGGCCATCTTGCATCCCGAGCCCCGACGACCTTGTACGCTGACCGTTTCTGCTTAGATTACATAAAATCACGCTACTAGGGTGAGTTTCACGGCCCCACTTTCTAATATTTCATGGGAAAACGCATGCTAAATATTATATATACGTTTTTATTATGTCTATATGATAGTATATAGTTATAATAGCCGGGGTATAGTTGTTCTAAATATAATATTTTGAATATATACAACTATTATCAACTTGTTAGCATGTTAATTTACTAATGTAGATCTTGAGTTATACTTAGGATTCTATATATATGTTGTGTGCGATATAGTTCCGAAGTTATATTCGGAAGTTCTATATGTTAAGTTATAAAGTATGTTGCTATTATTGGTTTTATGTCTAGATAAAACTTGGTATGTTATATGTTGTTATTGTTAGTTTTATGTCAAGATAAAACTTAGTATGTTATATATTGTTATTGATATTTGTATGTCAAGATAAAACTAGAAACGTTATATGTTGTTATTATTGGTTTTATGTCAAGATAAAACCTGGTTTTACTTCAAGATATAGCTATTACACTACCTAAATGTTATGAAGTTGGGAGTAATGTTTAAAAGCATAGTCTAGTAACTTAGGGTTTTAGACATGAAAATGCTTTTGTTGTTAGAGCTATAGGAATCCGTCGAAGTCTACATGAGTAATTGTATTCATCAACTAAGATTGGGGATCTTAGCGGAAATCCTCTGAACTGTAACCGTTAATCCCGTGTGAGCGAGGAAGTCGTGTATAATTAGTATACGGGTTGACCACCCCACTTGTGACTGTTAGCTACAGTCAACCAAAAGCGAGTGATGAACTATCCTTTTACTTGTTATTGTTCCGGCGTCGATGAAGCGTACGGTGTTGTTTCTCATGGTAAATCATGAGTGTGTTGTTTCTCATGGTAAATCATGAGTGTATTGTTTCTCATGGTAAATCATGAGTGTGTTTTATCAGAGGTATTATGTCATAGCAGTTGTTATAGGCTCATGGTAGCAAATTGTTAGAAGCATTAAAGTTTGTTGTATACAAGTATTAATGTTAAGTATAAGTTTCCCCTACTTATACCTTAGGTTTAAGGAATGTTTAGGTATAACACTTAATTGATAAGTAAACTATTAAACCTAATATACCTACTAAATGTTGGAGAGTCAAAATGATACTTTCAAAACTATACTTTTGAACGTGGAAAAAAATGTATTATTTTATGGAGTCAAAACCTGTGGACTCACCAACTTTATGTTGACGTATTTTAAAATGCATGTGTTTTCAGGAACTTGAAAAGCTGGTATGTATTCGAACAGAAGAAGTTTTACTATTACCTTTCTATTCATTAAGAAGTATGCTATAGTCGGATATTATGTAATAGGTTCTAGAAAAAAAAACAGTTATGTAACTTTCAATTATCAATAAAGGTATGTATTTCTTAGTACTGTTCAATGTATGTTATATAACTGTGATACGAAG